CGATTATTTATGTAACCTTAAACATAGTATATAAGTGTTATATACGAGAGGATAGTGTTTAAGGATAATAATCAAAAACATTATTCATGATGAATTTAATTAAAGTTCATAATCTTTAATTAAAACATTATTAATACATGTCATTCCCATTTAGAATGGAACAGTGCTATCCGCACTGTTAAATGGTGAGATATTAAATGAGTGTATTACGCATAATAAGATTATGTGGAATAGGGACACAGACACAATATGAATTTCTAATAATTTCCGTTAAGCATAGAAATTCTAATTGAGTCTACCGATGGTCATATATAGAATGATCTTAATCCTAAGTTCTTAACAAACTCCTATTTATGGATTTATGTCTTTTCATTTACTCGGTACGGATTCCGAGACCCTGAATCCTATTCCTTGTATTTTGGAGACATGATGAAATAGGTAGCTGGAAATGTTATTATACGAGATGGAATCCATTCCTTCTTGAGAAAAAAGTAGATAAATAATTCTCTTGAGTGTTGATTCGGTACTTGGATTAGTAAGAGCGCTCTGGTTCATGAATGTGTTTTATGAATCACTATCCATTAGAGAATCAATTGTACTCAAGGATGAAGATATAATTAGAGAGGTTAACGGATTCTATCTAACTCTAATTATGAATTATTTATGGATGATTGATCTATATGTAATGACTATATCAAATGGACACTTCGCAGTTTAGAAGTAATTAATGTATATAATTTCGAGAGTTCAATTCCAAGTTTATAGTGGAGTAACTATTAGAATTAATTAATTAATTAAAGTGTTTAATTAATTATTAATTTTATTAGAGCTTGGGATTATAGGTCCATTAGTCCCCGCGTCATCCTTGTAATTTTACCAGACACAAAGGGCAAAATGGGAATTTTAGAATTACGGAATTCTAAAATTAAATACTCGAAAAATAATTAATTGAGAATTACTTATTATTTAAATAATGTGATTATTTAAATTTGAATTTGAATTGTGAACATAATTTAAATTTATCCTTTTGAACTTATTTGATAAGTTGTTCAATTTAGAATTCAAATTAATTTAAGTTTGACTTAAATTCGAATTTGAATTTGAATTAAAATTAGACTACAGGATAAAGGATGATTTCTCTTCCTTCCTTATCTGTAATTGGCGCCACACACAGGGTAAAAACCTTAAGGGGTGGCCGGCCACTTAAGAGATAAGGAGAGGAGATTTTGTTGTTCAAAATTCAAATAGGAGATAGAGATTTAATTCCTTTTTGAAGTTTGACTTATACTATTTAAATATGAGAATGATAGAAAATTGTGAACACAATTTTTAAAACATATTTTCAGCCTTAACTTGCATTGGTGGCCAAAATTCTCATTGGAAAAAGGAGAGGAAATTTTTCTCCCAAAAAATCCACATCGTGCATGCGTTGGTGTTTGTGGAAATTTGAGTGTTTTTGGAAACCTGTTTTGTCCCACGTGTGCCCACACACACGTCTACGTGGAATTAGGGAATTGACGTGAACGACTTTGGTTTTCTAAACACAAAGATTGGAGCAAGGATTGTTCGTGGTCAAAGAACTCAAGTTATCATCCGAGTCGGCTTCTAGGTATTTTTCCTAATTGAGTTCTTGATATATATAAATTAATGTGATTAATTTATTCGTGCACAAATTAATATAATCTATAGAGTATCTCAAAAGTTTATGAAATTTTTATTATACAAGATCCGCCTCCCTGCCACGCTTCCGCATCCGAATTCGATTCGGTTACCAACACACTTTTGGTAATTATTTAGAGATTAAAACATGAAAATCCTGAACTGGCGCCGTGGCTCTACTTCAATGGCGTTGTGGCGTCATAACACAGGCCTTCAGAAATTCGAAGTGGCGCCATGGCTTTGTCCCTAGGCGCCATGGCACTGCTCGACAAATTTATGATTTTCTTCTCCGTAGCGCCATGGCTCCACTTTATGGCTCCTAGGCGCTTTGCTCTTGGGTTTGTAGTACTAGAGAACTTATTTTTGGCGCCATGACTCCACTTTATGGCGCCTAGGTGCTTTGCTCTCGGGTTTGTTGTATTGGAAAACTTGTTTTTCCTCTATCTTTGAAGCCTAGGTGCCCCTTTACAAATCCTTAGCGCCCATTTTTCAGTTTTGCTCCAAAAATTCCCAAAAATCACTAATGGACTCCAACTGAAACAAACCTACAAAATAAATTGAAAACACATAAATAACTCCTAAAAACACCTAAAAACTCACAAAATAATGAGTCGGGAAAACGAAAATGTAGACACAAATTCAACTCATTAGGATGGAATAGCCTTTCCTTACTATTTCATTCATTCCAACCAAACACACTAAGAGAGTCACTGAGTTTAAAGAATTCAAGAATTATTTTGTTAAAACTTAAAAGAAGAACTAAAATGTCACCTATTAAAGAGTTAAGAACTACCGATGTAAATTACTCAACCTTTAAAAAAAACTAAGAAAAAAAGAGGTGGGGGTTACAAAACGTGGATAAAAGAGGATCGAACACGAGACCTTTCCACGCCCACCCCAGCCAATTCAAAACCCCGGATGCTACAGACCAAATTAACCGTCTTTGATCTCATCGATTATTATTGGTCTCATTAAATACCACAACACATTTCTCCTCAGCTGTTAATTTCTCTGATAACTTCATTCATCTTGCAGACTGCTGAATGTCTAAAATGCCCAAAAATAAAATACTGATTACATTATGCAAAGAAACAATAATTACTTAACCAGTAAATCTGCGTCTTCAGCAAAAGAACCGAAGAAAAGAAGAAGTATATCAGTAACAAATAATGTATGAAGCGGTTAGGGAAAAAAAAAACATAACAAATTATTACGATTAGAAATGTTAAGCATTGGAAGATTGAACAAAGTGAATTTTCATCGCAATAAATCATTAGCACTCTTTGTTACTTTGATTATAGCAATGAAATTGCATAGGCTTTCGTACTTTTGTAAAAAAAAAAAAAAAAAGGCTAGGCCTTCATTTTAAAGTTTAAAGGCCTAACTAAATTAAAGTTACATTAACATCGACAAGGCGAGGACTGCAGCCACATTTATGATAAAAACAAAAAAAGCATTTGTTGGTTGTATTATCACCACATAAATAAAGCAAATGAATATACTTGGCCACCTCATTTTTCACAAGACATCTTTAGAAAAATAATTAGAACCTGATCAATTAATATTTATTTACGCGTTTCCTCTTACATACACGTCTCATAATTATTCATGCTAATTATTTCTATCTTCAATAAAAACCTCATTTATAAGCATTGAATATTTTATAGATGGATATAACAATTTTGAAGGGGTTTGCCATTGACTTTCTCTTGAATTTTAGGGATGTAAAAATTATGCATCATTCGAGCTAACTTGTGTCGCCTTAATTGACCTATTATGTTCTTTCTATGATCTTAAGACAGTGTTTATTCCAAATTATTCATGCTAATTATCTCTATCATCAATAAAACCTCATTTATAAGCATTGAATATTGTGATAATAAATTTATAGATGGATATAACAATTTTGAAAGCTTCGCCATTGAATTTCCTCTTGAATTTTAATTTTTAGGGATCTAAAAATTATGCATCATTCAAGCTAGCTTACGTCGCCCTAATTGATCGATTATTTTTCGTATGATCTTAAGGTGCCGTTTATTCTGAATCAAAACTTACTTGTTAAATAATCTCATTAATTTCTTCTTAGAATAAAATTAAGGTAGGCATCTTTATCATGTTTTCTTCTTCTAAGTAGCCTTAAAAGATAATAATAAAAAAAACTTTTTTATGAATAATAGAATCTAGAGACGCATTGGCTACTTGATATGGATCGAGAAAACAGTGGGAATCCAGGATCACTAGCTACAATTACAAGTACCTTTGTGAATTTCGCCTAACTGGCTAGTACTAACGCGCGTTGGCTTCCATGGATTCACCTAATTAGTCTTACCTACGATTCCTCTTATTATGAGTCTCACCTACAATTCTCATGCACGCTAACTCTCCATTTCCTACGGCACTAACCTTCGGCGATCAACATAAAGGCGCAGAAGGACAAGGTCTGCGATATGCATGATGAATATGGATCAATCCAACTTGATAAAACGTACAATATGCACCAAGTAAAAATTGGGTCAATTGATATAAGCAGCTGACGGCTCATGTGAGAGAGAGAGAGAGAACACAAAACGGGGCCAAATGAGAATATTCAATATCCGTGGACAATATTTTTTTCCCTCTTTGTTTCATCTTTTAGTAGGTTTTGTTTAATGACATGGTTGAAACTTGGTTATATGCATTTATTTGAAGCCTGGAAGTATTCCTAACCTCCTTAACATGAATCTCAAGGACGAGCACTGACATTAACCAAAATAAAAACTAAACAAGAAAGAAGAGAAAATAAAAGAATGAGTTTTTGATGGTTACGTTTACATGGTAATTACCTATTAAATATAAAAATTTGATGACGTGACATGATAAATATAAATAAATTCAAAATTATTAATAAAAGGTACGTAACGATGTTAACTTTCTCTGCCTAATAGATTCAATATCCATGGACAATATTTTATTTCCTTTTCGTTTCATCGCAGGCGTTATCCAATGGCATGGCTGATGGGAATATGCATTAATTTGAAGGCCTATAACTACCCCCTTACTTCCTCAACATGAATATCAAAGGACGAGGAATACTTATATCCATTAATTTCTTCAAATTAAGCTCTTCAAAGTTCAGATGAAGGCGCATATTAATAGTCCATTTGATTCATAGGTTTGAACAAAAAAGTACTGTAATAAAAAAGTTTAAACAGTAATTTGAACTTATGAAACAAACGGAGGCTAAGAGTCTAGCTCTTAATTAAAACTCTCTAGCCCCCTCTTTCTACTTCTCTCTCTTGTTACATATAAGAATAGTAGTGCATATATACAGTTCTTAATCCAATCTATATTCTCTTAAATAAATGGACGGAACCAATGTATTGCAGCCTCCAACTTATGGAAACCTAATCACTATTCTCAGCATTGATGGGGGTGGAATCAGAGGCCTTATCCCCGGAACTATCCTCAATTTCCTAGAGGAGGAGCTTCAGGTTCGTTAAACATGTTAGATACATATATATATATATATATATATATATAATAGTAGTTTTTCTTTCTCTTGTATACTTAAATTTTATCATCACCAATAATCTGTCTTTCCCTAAAAGGCATCTACTAATCATGTGCCATTTAATTATATGCATTGCATATTGCAAATTTATAGCTAGCTATATATTGGAAAAATTCTTATATTTTTGTACGACTACATGTTGCCATATGCACATATGCATTATTATATTTGTATGATGGTTATTTTTAGCGAGCTTTTACGTGTGCATAGTTGATTAATTAATTATGTGTTATTTACCGTCACATAATTTGTTATTATATACACATTATTTAGCTATATACACACACTAATTAATTAATTTTGGGAATATGTGCTTGAAATTAATGCAGAAGCTGGACGGTGAGGATGCAAGAATTGCCGATTATTTTGATGTAATTGCAGGGACAAGCACAGGAGGACTTGTGACTGCCATGCTAAGTGCCCCAGACGAAAAAAATCGTCCTGTTTTTGCTGCCAAAGATATCAAGGACTTCTACCTCACTCAATGTCCTAAGATCTTCCCCCAAAATAAGTAGGACATTATATAATTTTCATTAATTAAACATCAATTTGCTGATCATGAATTAATCCCTGATAAATTTCCCTGCAGCCTGTGTGAGCTTTATATATATATATATATATATATATAATTCCAATACATTTATATCGTCAATGTATTAACATATTTCATTATATTGATTAATTTTTGAAATATGTTCAACAGTTGTCCAGTATTCCCTCACCTCGCAAAAATTATCAAAGCCTTATCAGGACCAAAATACGATGGGAAATATCTGCACAAACTCGTTAAAGAAAAACTGGGCAGCACAAAATTGCACCAGACTTTGACTAATGTCGTCATTCCAACATTTGACATCAAGCAACAACACCCAACAATCTTCTCAAGCTATGGGGTAATACAATTAATTCCATCCGATCAATGATCACGCATCTTTCTCTTTCAATAATATTGTTTATGCCGGGTTCTCTTAATTTCTAGCTAATTTTAAGGTTCAAATCCAATATGATATTGTCCCTAATATAATTTATTAGCCAAAATGAATTCTAAAATTTTCGATAATATTCGCGAGACAGGTGAAGAACAATCCCTCCTACGATGCCCTTCTCTCAGACATATGCATTGCCACCTCGGCGGCACCAACTTATCTTCCTGCTCATTACTTCAAAACCGCCGATGCTGCAGGCGGAGTGCTTCGAGAGTTTAACCTTATCGATGGTGGCGTTGCTGCAAACAATCCGGTACCAAAGAACAAAAAATATCCAATTAAATTTTTATTTTTATCAATAACAATATGTTTTTTAATTAATTCAGACCTCTAATTAGTCTTTTTTTATTTTATTTTATTTTTTTATAATTAGACTCTAGTTGCTATTGGTGAAGTGTCGAAAGAGATAATTCGGGGCAATCAAGATTTTTTCCCCATGAAACCCTTGGACTATGGTAGATTTCTAGTGATATCATTAGGAACAGGCAGTCCAAAAGCCGAAAAAAAGTATAATGCACCAGAAGCTGCTAAGTGGGGCGTTTTAAGTTGGTTAATTAGTGGCGGTTCCACCCCTATTATTGATGCCTATTCTCACGCAAGTGCCGATATGGTCGACCGCAACCTTTGCGTGGTTTTTCAAGCCCTACACTCTGAGAAAAAGTATCTTCGAATTCAGGTACGTACAGTGTAATCAACACAGTATATATTTGTAATTAGAGTCGTGATTCCATCTTAAAAAGTTTACTTGTGAGGATTTAGAGTTAATACAAACCTGTTAAAACTATTATCGATTTCATGTCTAGTCAATATGGGATTTTGTTCGCACCCTTCCAACAATTCTACTCCCCCCCCCGAATGAAGCCTGTCACAGCCCCCTCAAACGATGACCCATCTATATATCCATCTTCTTGAAACAAGCCAACCACGAAGATCACAACTCCATCAAGAGCTTCACCGCTTTTCATACCGTGTTCGGATTTTTCCGTCATCGTGTTCTGATACTCCGGCCGGGCCAATTACTATTTGTTGGGTCTATGGGGCTATTCTACCTTTTTAAGATGGAACCCTAAAGACCCAACAATATCATTCTAGTACTATATTATTTGAAGTTTTATTTGATATATATGTTAAACATATTTTAGGACGACACGCTGAGTGGAGCGGTATCTTCGGTGGACATAGCCACAGAGAAGAATTTGGATGACCTTGTCAATGTTGGTGAGAAGCTTTTGCAGAAACCTGTTTCCAGGGTTAATTTGGAGACTGGCGTATTCGAGGTTTGTAACCACGAGACTAACGCAGAGGCTCTTACAAGGTACTTGTATATAGATATATATATATATATATATATATACACACACATATATAGACAATTATATATAAATGGTAAATAAAAGAATCGTTGTCTCTAATTAATTTTGCAGGTTTGCTAAAATGCTATCGGACGAGAAGCGGCTCCGCGATGCAAGGTCCCCTCATACTGGACATGCTTCAAATTCCCAGTGATATTCATAACAGAAACGATAATAAACTTCGCGTAGCCACAAAATATATTCCATTAAAAAAAAAAAAAATTTATTTTTAAGAGTGCATAAATATAAATTTTTATCTTTATTTTTGATAAATATTATTTTATTATTATAATTATTTAATTAAAAAATTATAAATTAAAAATAAAGAATAAAAATTTCGTGGACTTTTAAGAAGATTACTTTAAAAATAAAGTTTGCAGGCCCACCTGTGTGTCTTGAGGTGCAGCTCTGCGAGCTGTGTAGCAATACTCTATTCATCAAGCCTGTTAATGAAGCTTTTTAGTTTTTATTCTTTTTTCAGCAGTATTGTGTATCGTACTATATATGGTTAGCAAGTGTTCAATTAATGTAGTACTACTTTAAGGTGGATCCTAACACTTATTTTATCCATTGAATCTGTTAGATTAATTATTTCAGTTTGCTTTATATTCTTCTTTCGATAATTATTTGATAATTTGCTTTATTCTTTTTTGGTGACCTTAAATGTAAGCTTTACTTTTTTAAATATTGGATAACATTTCAATTGAGGTGGTATATATGCTAGCTAGAAATGTGTTTCCATATTCCCAGAACTTCTAATTTGTTCTGAAAGAAAGAAAAGCAAAAAAAGGTTCATGAGCAGTAACCAAAGAGATATAGGGCCCGTTTGTTTCCGTTTTTGTTTTCATTTTTCACGGTTTTTGAGAATAAAAAATGAAAACGAGTAAAAAAAACGCATTTGGCGTAAAATTTTCTAAAATCAAAAACAAAAACGTTCTTGTCATTATATGAAAATCTGAAAACGATTTATAATCGTTTTCATTCTTCCGTTTTCGTTTTCTCTCTTCAACAACTTCACGCGAACGTGCGCCCTCCGCCCCCGTCTCCGAGTGCG